GGATTGTTGCGACTACAACCATGATCCATGGGATAGATCATCCAAGGGTGAAAGCGGTCATCTTTGACAATGTTCTCTTTGGACTAGTGCCCAAGACACAGGCAGATGGACGAACAGGCCGTGATGGCTCACCTGCCTTCAGTATTCAGTTTATAGATCACACTGTTCACCACATCCACCCGAAAGGCCTCAAGGAAGATCTATCTGGCATTATTCCAATGAATGAATGGATCATGGACAAGGAGAGCTGTCGTCGAGTCAAGATCTCTGAAGCAATGGATGGTGTCCACATCACTTGTGCAGATATTCCTGGTGCGCACCTATGCGATAAGTGTAATCCTGAGCACCCGCTATTTGTCAAGATTAGGGAACTTGTACAGCTGCCTGATGCTGTCTTGGTTCCCACTCCCCCTGCAGCTGCCCCTGTGCCTGATGGGGTCTTTGGTATAGTTCCTCTTGTTAAGGCAGTCTCTGCCCCAGCTTTTCTAGGTCTTCCTGCCTCTGCTCCAGCTGCTCTACCTACCTATCCATCCATGATTCCACACCAGGCATCTGACGACAGTGATGATTTATACACAGGCCTGGATGACATTGCCTTGATGAACGTTGCCATGGGTGATCCTGTAACACCGGTAGCGACCCAGCCATTTGCAGTGCAGCCAGTTCTCAGGGCAATGGTGGATGTCCCATTATTGGTAAATCATCCATCAACTAGCGCAGCATCTGGATTGCATATCCAAGCTATGCGTAATGCACAGCACCAGAGATCTCCATTCACACCTCCTGGAACAGCTCCACCCACTCCTACACCAATTCGCACTATACCAAAGGTTCTTATCCCAGCCACACCAAGTCCACTAGCCAAACCTGGGTCTGCTATGCGTCTCCAAGCTATCCAAGAGGCTAGGAGAGCTCCATATCCTGCAGTGGCCTCAAGGGGTAGAGTCCTGGTTCCATCTACACCAGGTACAGCCTCCCATCCCTCTGGCTTAGGACGTCCTCCTCCACCTATGACAATTGCAACCCATGTGGCTCCCTCAATGGGAAGAGTCCTGGTGCCGTCTACACCTGTAACTGCTTCTCATCCCTCTGGATCTGGACGTCCTCCACCATCTATGGCAATTGCAATCGACACAGCCCATGCAAACCAGCAGTTTGCTGAGAAACGCCGCAAGGCAGATCTACTTCAAGTGCTAACAGGTAGACTCCTTACTCGGTGTCCTCTATGCTGGGCGTACTCCCATACACTTGCTGTTCCTCGCCCAGGACACAGGCGATGGTTAGATTGCTGTGGTTCAAAGGGGTTCTTTCCAGACATGAATGAGTGGATGGACCTGCGGACTGAGATGACAAAGGTTGGCTTTCCGAAGTTCCACTACTGCTATAGCTGTGGCATGCCTCAGGATCAGCAGTTCAAGCCAGAATGCCACACACAATTTTTAGCTGGGGAGAGGAACAAGTGTCCCATGGAAGACTTTACTGTCCTGCTTCTATGGTTCATTTACATGGACATCAGGACCCTTAGCAAAGCCAGGCAGACAATGTTCCCAGATCTGCCAACAGATAACTGTACATCAACCTTTGCAAGATGGGTAATGAGAGGAGAGACACCTAGTCGGTTCTACAATGGACTTGAGTTGGTCTTATGGTGGGCAGGAGAGCATGACCCCAAGATGCTGGGGCAGAATTACTAGTGCATACAATTGCTTCGATACATTGGGGGGTCCAAATCTACAGTGCATGCACTCGAACGTCTATTCCTCCATGATTAGAGTATTTATAACACTGTTTCATTAGGTATGAAACATATCAGATCCCACAATTGACGTACTGTTGATTTTGACTTTGGATGAAACATGAGCAATTGTTTAATCTCTGCGAATGGAAATTACGGGACCTCCATTCATTGTGACCACCTATTCCAGTCATTATAGGTCTATGTTTATTCCAGTACCCACCGAACACGCCGCAGTCCATCGCTCACATTCTATGTATTGTGACTTGGAATTAGACATGATCCAGTGATGATATACTCAGACTATACGGTTCAGTGATAGGCAATGCGGTATCCCCATCGCATTCATACCTCCCCACCGACGCCTCCATCGCTAGCCATCCATGCGGTCGGACTCCTAGCCCCCTCTCCCCCACAGACATAATATATCCGCCATGTACCCTACGTATCGCAGTTGTATTGCTGGACGTGAATGCCAGCATGGCCACATCGCACTCCCCATTGCCTGACAGACTGATAGCAATCCCAACGCCATGCAGGACTGCAATATACCACATTCACCGCTTCCAAAGCGGTGGGAGACTGATTCATGCACGGTTACCCACTCACAACACATTGCACAGCCGATGTACGCCATGTATGGCACTCAAGGAGCAGTGCGGAGGATATAGACATTGGACATGGCCTCTCCAATGCTGCGCACGTCTGATGAACATACTGTATCACACATGGCAAGGCTACGGGGAAGGCACCCCGATTGCCGGGTGTGGCGGACGGGATTGCTCCCAGGACGCAAGATGAGTTGTGCAGCGCTGGGGAAACCCATTCGTGACGCAGCTCTCTCGGCGATGGAAATGGGGCAAATTGCCGCTGTATCACTCGTGGCACTCCCGCATACCCATGTCGCCCTTTCAGACATATGCATTCCATCCAACGGCGTCACTAACACCGGGCCCATTTGCACCGGGCTGCGAGGCATTGCCGCCAAGATTGTTCATCGCACCGATGGGCTCCGCAAGACCAATGCATGGCGGGACGGCGGTCGGTCCATCCTTGTCCAATGCTATGGGCGTCCGTGAATGAACATCGCACCTCCCCTGGCAGAGAGTGACCCGGTAGCAAATCAGGTCGTCACGGACAGTCGGCTGGAAATTATCCGTAAGGTTAAGTTGGAGTCGGCGTAATTTCGGGCACTCCTAGAGACGGCCATCGAGCTGCCGGAGGGGCTCCATCGCATTCCCAACATTTGCCGTGGGTTCTGCGCCATCTGCGGGTCAAGATGGAAGGACCCGGTCAAGCCTGTTGCATTGCACATCCCGTATGTTCCATTTACTGAGAACAGGGACGAGACGTTGCCCAACGCCTAGGTGTGGATTCACTTCAAGAAAGGCGTCCACCTGGCGCCGCGATACCGATATTGCTACGGCTGCTATCTCCGTCTGACCGGACGATTCGTGCTTCCGCAGCGCCTGCGTATTCCTCAACCAGTCACTGTGGGGCAACGATGGACGTTTACGGACTGAGTACCCCTCCACCGTGACCCCATTATGTGTAGGGCAGCACCGACTACATTCGACAAACCCCCTACGAGCGTAAGCTATGACGAGTACTCGGTGTTGTACATGAACGGTGGGATTATATCTTACTTTCATAACGGCATTGAGTATTCTATTTAGACCGCAGTCATCTGCCCTGAAGCATGTCCAGACGTTCACCTCTAAGGTGCACAATGCTGTG